CTTGTATTCGTTACATTTTTCTATTAATATTTTTGTGGTTAACAGGTGATCGGAAGTTGAATAGCCTTTTCTAAAACCTGCCTGTTCATATGGTTGGTATTCGTCTAATTTCCTTGTTAGTCGAGTAGTTATGACTTTGGTGAGTATTTTAAACAGGTGTGACAGTAGGCTGATGGGTCTGTAGTTTTACAATTTTCAACTATCACCTTTCTTGTGTAATAAGATTACTTTAGAGTTGTTCCAGCTTTTAGGGACTTTGCCCTGATGTAAACAACTGTCCACAAGCTTAGTTACAATTGCAATTAGTTCCATACCTCCTTCTATGTTTTCCAATGCTGTAGTTTCCTCTGAAATTGTTACTTTTGGCATTATTTCTGATCCAACATTTTTTATTAATTTCCGTGCTGGTCTCATTTCATTATCTTGTTGATGTGTTCTGTAAAGTTTTGTGTAAAATTCTTCTATTCGTGTCAGTATGTTTTCTCTAGTAGTGATTTCATTTTCGTCTTTTCCTATTAATGATATCATCTGACGTCGTCCTAGTGTCGGTCTGAGGCATTTCATACTCTTATTTTTTTTAATAGTTGTTGTTATTAATTTTTCGTTTTCTTTTCTTTTTTGTTGTCTGATTCCTTTTCTAATCTGCTTATTAAGTTCTCTATATTCGTCGGTCCCCCTTTTGTTAGATTTATTTAAGATCTTCCTTCTTTCTATTTGTTGTAATATTTCTTTGTCTAATTTATTGTATGTTGTTTTCGGTTTTTTCAGTTGCAGAAGGCTTTTATTCACTGTTTCGGTAATAAGGTTATTTAAATCATCAATATCATTGGATTTTATCTGCTGCATGCTAACTTGATTTAATGCATGCACTATCTTTTTATTAAATTCACTATTTTTGATTTCTTCAGATGTCCATTTGTATCTTTTTTCATGTATTCTTTTTCTTTCTAGTTTTTTGTTAATTATTAGTTTTGTTCTTATTAGTCTATGATCGCTTCCTAGGTCAAATTGATTTAATACTGATACGTATTCTACTAGGTTTCTATTCTTCGTTAAGATATAATCTATTTCATTCTTTTTCTTTTTATCGGGGCTCATCCATGTCCATCTTCTGCTTGGTTTTTTATTGAAAAATGAGTTCATTGAGTACATGTTATGTTCCTTCATGAAATTGAGAAGCATTTCTCCTCTATGGTTTCTTTTCCCGTAGCCATAGTTACCAATTAAATGTTCATAATCTTCCTCTTTTTTGCCCAATTTAGCATTAAAATCTCCTAATAGTATTTCGTAATTTGCTTTATTTGTTTCTATAGCAGTTCTTATTTCATTATAAAATATTTCTACTTCTTGATCGTCGTGGATTAGAAATCCCCGATTATACCCATTAAGAATATATTAATTTCATACTTTAATCAACATTACTAATTTATTCTTCAATAATTTACAAAACTCGCTTGCTCAGGTTCAATTGATCTATAGTTGATATTAATTACACTCTCCATACCTCTGCGTAATTTAGATATACCATCACCACAGTTGTATATTTCAACATCTCCCACTGTTGGTCAGTTGATCTTGAGTAACGCTTTTACATATTAATTTTATAGTTCTCCCGTTGACTGGAGGTTTAACTGAACTACTTGGATTATACCCCATTTATACACTGCTTTCAATTTTTAATTTTTAGTATTTTAATTTCATAGTCAGATTTCTTCTTTTCTACAGTATTGATAGTGCCTGGTAGAGCCTTTAATTGTATTCAACCACCCTCTGTCTGATAGACTGTTTAGTCTATTTCTTGCATTCATAATTCAGGCCCACTTCAGTTGCTCTTAAAAAAACACTAATAATAATTATTAAAAAAAGGTTTAAATGTGAGATCTGGATTATGCAATCTAGTTAAAATATTCTATATGCCATATTTCAACAGTTGATTTCCTTTAGTACCATCAGTTGGACCTTTGGTCAATGCTTGGTTACATAGAATTTTGAAATGTGCAGTTTACTTTTTCAAGTTACCACCTAGACGTCTCTACACGTGGAAATCTCCAGCAGATGGAATAGAAGGACGCTTCACAAGAAATCAAATCGATTACATAATGGTCAACAAAAGATACAAAAACGCAGTAAAAGCATGCAAGACATACCCCGGAGCTGACATCCCCACCGACCACAATCTTCTTCTTGAAACAATTAGGATATAATTTAAAAGAACAAAATGAAATAAGCAAATAATAGCTATTAACCTAGATAAGCTTAAAGAAGGATCCACTAGTAATAAAATTCGGGAAGAAATACATAGACACTTGAGTAACAGAACAGTGCAATCGACACAAACTCCCGAGGAAGAATGGCACTATATTGAGAAAACACTTACAAGAGTAACAGAAGACTACCTCAAACAAGATACACGAAAAAAGAACAAACCATGGATGACAGAAGAAATTCTAAACATGATGGACGAAAGAAGAAAATACAGAGGTAAAAATGAAACAACATACAAGTAAATACACAAGAATATTAAAATAAAGATCCAACAAGCCAAAGAAACCTGGCTAAGTGAAAGATGCCAAGAAATTGAAGAGTTGGAACAAAGACATAATACTTTCAATCTACATAAAAAAGTAAAAGAAGCCGCTGGAATATTTAAACAACTTCCTACGTCTTTCATCGAAGATAAACATGGGAACCCGCTACTGAACATAGAAGATCAAATAGGTAGATGGAGAGAATACGGAAGAGATGTTTCAAGACCGAGAGAGGACGAACATTTACATGCAGGAGGGATCGACTGGACCTTATATCACAAAGCAAGAAATTATCAAAGCGGCAAATCAAATAAAGAACGAAAAAGCTGTTGGGGAAGATAATATCCCAATTAATATCCCAATTGAAATAATAAAGATATTACTAGACGAACACATCGAAGTAATGGAAGATATATTTAACAAAATATACGAAACAGGCAAAATACCAAATGATTGGCTGACATCGGTGTTTATACCACTACCAAAGAAGAGAAACTCCAAGAAATGTGAAGACCATAGGATTATTAGCCTGATGAATCATATGTTGAAGCTTTTCCTACGAGTAATACACAATAGAGTATACCATAAACTAGACGAACACACTGGTCAAACTAGATTTGGTTTTAAGAATGGGTTCGGAACAAGAGAAGCACTTTTTTCAATACGTGTGCTAGTTGAAAGATGTAGAGATGTCGATTCTGATGTATACTTGTGTTTTATAGACTTTCAGAAGGCGTTTGACCTGGTAAAACATGATAAACTAATAAATATTTTAAGGTCATGTAATATCGACGATAAAGACTTATGAATCATTTCAAACCTCTGCCAAGAACAAAAGGCTAAAATCAGAATAAAAAGCGAAACATCTGGAAAAATCAATATCGAGAAGGGAGTAAGACAGGGATGAGTCCTATCACCTTTGCTGTTCAATGTTTACTCTGAGAAGATATTTCAGAAAGCTTTGGAAGGCACCACGGATGGTATAATTATAAACGGGCAATGTATAAATAACCTGCGATATGCTGATGACACTGTCATACTGGCAGATAATGCTGAAGCCCTGCAACGCTTAATGGACCGAGTAACGACAGCCTGTAGAGAATTTGGAATGAAATTGAATACAAAGAAGACAAAAGCGATGGTCATCAGCAAACACCAAAACAGAAGGGTGAAGGTCAATGTCGACGAAACAGATCTGGGACCACTCACTAGAGATAAGAATACGTCTGGAAAAGGCACAATGTTTTACAAAATGCAAAAAGTTCTATGCAACTGCCAGCTGGGCATCTCATTGAGAACTAGAATACTTAAGTGCTATGTTTTCTCCACCTTGCTCTATGGTGTTGAAGCCTGGACAATGACAGAAGCAACACAAAAAAGAATCCAAGCATTTGAACTCTGGTGTTACCGTAAAATGCTCAGAATATCCTACATGAGCCATAAGACAAATGCGGAAGTCTTGCGGAGGATGAATAAGGAAAGAGAGCTTATGCTTATAATAAAAGAACGGAAAACACAATATTTTGGTCACATCATAAGAAATCAAAAGTATGAACTGCTCCAACGTATAATCGAAGGCAAAGTCAATAGCAAAAGAGGACCAGGAAGAAGACGCAACTCTTGGCTTAAAAACCTACGGCAATGGACGAACATGACCTCCATAGAACTATTCAGGGCTGCTACAAATAAGATTAAATGGGCAAATGTAATGGCCAACGTCCTTAAGGATAAGGCACCGTAAGAAGAAGACCAGTTTACATCTTCATGATTGTGACTGCCCATTAAAGCTATCATATGTCACATGTTACCTTAACATTTCCATTAATACCGGAAGCCATTCTCTCTCCTGTTGCCGACCAGAATGTAGCTTCGCCTATGTTTTAAATAATTTTAAACTGTTTGTCTTTGTTTAGTGTAGTGCTATGTACAATTTTGTGTTTATGACAGTATGTGATTGTTGGATAGCCTAAAATTGACGAAGTAGGTCTAAAACGTTAATCACAAAAAAACTTTTGTCATCCATTATTTTCGAGATTTTTATCGAAGTTATTTAACTTCTTTATAAAAAAAATCGTTTCTTGGCTTATTTCAGACGCTCCTGAAGATGCTCTAGGAAGCAAAAGTACTTGGGCAAGATTTAATTATTAAAACTGTACTCGATATCTGCCTTTCATTTTATCAAAGTTCATTTATTCGAGCATTCAACCTTATATATCAAATTATATTTATTTTATTTTTGTCTGCTCCTGTTCTATATTTTCACATATAATAAAGGAAAAGGTATTTCAGAACTCAAAAAGGAACTTTTTGACCTCAAAAAGGAGATTAAATTTAAACATTTGATTTAAAGTTGGTATCTGTAATTAAAATAATTGAGATATATTTGGAATAGAATACCGATTAAATGAATTAATTGTTTGCTGTGTCCAAGTATTAAAATATATCCCAAAATCTACTTAAAATGAAACTTACCCACGTCGTCTTCTTGTACACTAACAGCAGTCTTGAAAAATTTCAAGGCATCTTCAAAATTTCCTTGACTTTCCAGTGCATGGCCCACGTTATTAAATAACTTGGCATTCCTCTGATTTACCCTAAGTCCACTCATAAATATTGAATACTCATTTTCCCAATCCCAATTCCTCAAATAAGTCTTTCCTGCGTGAGATGCAAGCAGCAGACACATAAGGAAATAAAAGAGTTTCTTGTGTCTTTTCTGAGATAAAACGTGGAAACCATATCCCACTAGCATACAGAAACCCATCGAAGGCATGTAAAGGACTCTTTCTGCTATAACGAAACCAACCGGGAAGAAAAAGTTTGATGCTGGTATAAAAGGGAACACCATAAGTGATGTGCTCTGAAACAAAATAAAATATATTATTTAAATAATATAGATCTTAAATAATGTTTCTTAAAAACAAATGGGTTTTCGTAAATATACACATAGTTAGGTTCGAATTACCGCTAATTAATTTCAATTATATTTTGTTCTTGAAACTATATGATTGATTTATGGCTAATTCATTCTACAAATTGATGATTCAAATATTTTATGAGTGTTTAGTGGTGAAGATAAAATAGTTCGTCGGATCGTGACGTATGAGACATCATTGGAAATGAGAGGTGGTAGCAAATATTCTGAGACAGAAATAACACACATTGAGGCATTGCCGAAGTGCATTAGATCATATCTCCTTTGTTATTGGTCCCATTGGAGCGTGGTAAGCGTTAAGTGAAAGGGAAGGATATAACGAATATATTACCACGTGACCTAAATGACCAATGAGAAGGTAACGTGTTCGATAAACCAGGCCCATTAGACAGAGATGCAGGGATTGCTTTGCGTCAGTTTACTCTGTCGCACTGGGGGACGCAACTGTATTGCAGCAATCAGTCTATCTTGTATTATATGTTCATGTAATCACTACGTAATATAATACGATATTCTAGACGTGGAGATAGTACGTGCTTATAAATTACAATTTCATGAATTCTATGTGATGTTTATCTTTTTAAATTTGTAACAACTGTTATTTGAATTTGTAGAATTGTTTGTTTTTTATTTTTTAGGTGCAGACAGAATCTGTCTCCGGCTTCTATATAAAATGTAGCTTCTCCAATTTTAAATTTTAAAATGTTTGTTTGTCTTTGTTTAGTGTATTTGTTATGTCCCAATTTACATTTATGACATTCTGTTACTGCTGGATAGGCCACAACTGACGAAATGCCCCTGAAGATGATCTTGTGATCGAAAGTACTTGGGCAAGATTTGATTAAATACTGTGTTCGATATTTGCCTTGTGTACCATCAAAGTTTAATTAATGAATGTCCTGAAATAAAAGGGGATTGACTACAACGACCTCAGGATCCTATCAAATTTATACTATAAACAGCGAGCTAAACTATGTATTAACGAACAGCGGTCAGAAGAAATTGAAATTAGTGGAGTGAGACAGGGCTGCGTCTACTCCGAAGAGATCCTAAAAAAAGCTCTTGAGGGTGAAACAGATGAAATAAAGGTAAATGGAGTTCCCATTAACAACATTAGGTATACAGACAATACTGTGATCTTAGCCGAAAATATTGGAGATCTTCAGAGACTGGTGACCAGAATATGGAAGTATGGAAAAGAGTACGGTCTAACAATGAACGTCAAGAGGACGAAATTTATGAAATATCGAAAACTCAAAGAAATAACAAGAATCTTTTAATAAACGGAACCAACGTCGAACAAGTGGACAAATATGCATATCTGGGAACAACGATTATGTACACAAATGATTACATTCAGAAGATCAAAATCAGAATAGAAAAGACTAGAGCAAATTCAACAAAATAAGAAGAGTGCTATGTCAAAGGGATATAAAATTGGAACTAAGGTTGGCGGGGTGCTATGTTTTTTCGACTTTGTTTTATGGAATGGAATCTTAGACCTTGAATGCGACATCAATGAAAAAACTGGAATATGAATATGGAACGGTTATTTCAAACATAGAGATATACATAAATACACTTGGCACTAAGACACTAGAAACATAAAATCTATTATCGACTATGTCATTACAAAACAAAACACTAAATTAAACATCCAGGACACTAGGGCTTACAGGGGTAAGGAATGTGGATCTGACCATTATTTAGTTGCGGCTAAGACTCCGATTCCATTTAACCGACACGTTGAAAACATCAACACTCCAAAAGGAACTGATAGAAATCTGAAGAGATATAATGTCAGAAGCCTACAAGAATATGGCACTAAAATCTTATACCAAAATAGATTAAATGAAAAATTACTCGAGGAATACCTATCTGCTGAAACCAACCAACTATACGAACATATAACTGACTGTATTCCCCACGCAGCCCAAAAAGCTCTAGGCGAAGAAATCAGAACAGTCCACAGATCAGCGGGAAAAATCCCTTGGAATACACAGCTTGAAGAGCAAAGAAATAAGAAACAGGAAGCGTACAAAAGACGGCTGAACACTAAGAATCTTGAAGATAAAGAAATATACAAAGAACAGCAAAGAATATTTAAAAATATGACAAGGAACAACAAAAATGAAACATGGGATGCAAACTGTAAAGAAGTTGACTGTTACATCGGAGGAGCGCGATCATCAGCGGCATGGAAATTAATAAAAACCCCGAAAACCGACACATCAAATAAAAGTAGAATACAGCCCATCTAGATAGATACATGGAAAGATCATTACGCAAAGGAACTGAATGAAGATAGAGATATTTATAATACTGACTCAACTCAACGAATACGAGTACAAGGTGGATATGTAAACGTGTAAGAAGAACAAATACAACAAGCGCTTAAATCGATGAAGAAAAACAAAGCATCCGGGCCGGAGAACATACCAGCACAACTTCTAAAAAACGGAACACCAAAACTAATAAGCTATCTTAAAGTGCTATTTACAATATACTTGAATGGAGAAGAAATCCCGAATAGTTGGAAAGAAGCATGGATTACTCCAATTCACAAAAAAGGTACAAAAGATATTTGCGGAAACTACAGATGTATCTCTGTCACCAGTATCTTTAGCAGGCTGTTTGGTAAAATCTTAAAAAACATGATTGAGAAAGAATACGAACCTCATGAAATTGAACAGCAAGCAAGATTTAGAGCTGGAAGATCTTGTGTAGACCACATATTTACCCTAACACAACTGAATGAAAACAAAAATGCAAGAAACCAGGAAATACATCTTTTATTTGTGGATCTCACAAAAGCATATGACACGATTCCTGTGAGAAAGCTGTGGCAGTCTCTTGAACGATCTCCATTAAATAGCACGATCATCGCCGCAGTCAAACAATTATACAATAAAGCATCATCAAAAATCAAACTAAACAACACCTTATCAGAAGAATTTCCAGTAAAAAAGGCTTACGACAAGGATGCTGCCTCTCTCCAATACTATTTAAGATCTACTTAAACGAAGCACAAAAACACTGAAGAAGATCCTGTTCAGGAATGGGGATCCAACTTGACGACGATACAACATTATACACTCTACATTTTGCGGACGACCATGTAGTAGTGGCAGCAGACAAGGAAGATTTAAAACTAATGACGAGACAGTTGTTTAAAACATATGAAGAATGGAGCCTCTCTGTAAATAGAAACAAAACGCAATACTTATGCATCGGGAATGAAGTAGAAGATCTAATGGTCAACGAACATGAAACAATCAAGAACTATTATATAAATATATATATATATATATATATATATATATATATATATATATATATATATATATATAAGTAAATTTTCAATATTGGGTTTGCAGCAATAAAAATGATACGTGTACTCTTTTAAATTTTTATTCCGAGCTTTCGGACATGGTTATGTCCTTCATCAGGGAGCTACAAATATGATGAATAGTTTGTTACAAGTTTGTATAATTAATTAAAGATTCGCTACTTACAAACTTAATGAGGTTGGATCATCAATGATTTTCTACCATGTCGATAAAACTTATCACAGTCTGTCATATTATTATATAAAACTTATTCCTATATTTAAAATTTTTAAAAATTGCTATACAATCACAAACACTTACTTATTATACACACATTTCTGACATTTTTATTCTTAATTTTATTATATCGTCATTAGTTTTTTCACAAGACAATTCAGTGGTTTTTATTATTAGATACTAGTACCAAATTATAGGCCTATCATTAGATGTATTGTGGCTATATAAATTATTTTATATTTATTAATATGTTTCAACACAAAATTTATTAAATTAACCTAAAGAAATAAGGTCATAATTCTAAAAATATTACAATTGAATATGATATTGTTTTGTATGACCCCAGTATCTGTGTGTATACAAAAATTACTAAATTTAAAAACAATTAAAAAAAGAAGAAGAGAAAACTTTTATTTAATTTATTAAAAGTCAATTGATAAATTACTGTTTGTGTTATTGTTGCATTTATCTAGTAGTAATAAATAGGAGAACAATTCATTTAGATGACCAATATCCGTTCTATGATTCATTGCATTGTTATTTTGGCAAATGTATGCCATTTCAAGAAAAAGTCTTTTGGTGATGTTACTTTCCTGTTCTACTACTTTGATGTTATTGTAATCTATCCGATGCCCATTTTTAAATGTATGTTCACCCAATGCACTTCTTTCTGGATGTAATCTATTGTCAGACTTGTGCGATATAATGCGGTCTTTAAGGCATCTTGATGTTTGACCGTAGTATACTTGTTCACATGATCCGCACGGTATACAATAAACAACATCCGTTAACGACAAGAGTGGGGATTGGTCTTTAAGTTTAGAAAAAACTTTGTTAACTGTTAGTACCGTTTTATATGCAATTTTGATATTATTAAGTGATGAAAAAATTCTACTAAGTTTATGCCCAATGTCCTTAATGTATGGAAGGGATACATATTTTATTGTCGTTTGTTTTTGTAAAGGATCTACAGGTCCAATTCTATCGTGTGATAAAGACATATTTTCCTCGTTTCTTAAATGACTAGTTAAAGTTTGTGGAGTGTTAAACAAAATTTTCTTCAGTAGTATACTTGGGTATGAGTTTTCAATGAATAGGTTATACAGGATTTTTAGATTTTTGGTATGGAAAGCGGTATCACTGATTTTAAGGACACGATTTTTCATTTCTTTAACTAAATTAAGTTTCATTGAATATTTATGGTATGACCAATAATTGAGATATCTTCCTGAACTGAGAGGTTTTCTATACCAATCAACTAGCAAATGGGTACCTTTTCGTATTAACTTGGTATCTAAAAAAGGTACTGAACCTGTAGCATCTTCACGTTCTAATGTGAATTGAATGTAGGGGTTGTAA